CCCCTCAGCTCCCTCCTCCTCCTCTCAGCTCCCTGCTCCTCCCCTCAGCACCCTCCTCCTCCCCTCAGCACCTCAACAGAGTCAGCTGTGTCTTCTCCCACTTCTGCTGTGAAGCTGATGTCACTGTGAAGGTTCAGTGTCTCTGAACCCTCAGCATTCCCGAGCATTGTCTTCTCTTCTTAAACCCCCACCCCCACCCCAACAGGTGATGATGAAGATGGTTGGCTGGCAGTGGCATGTTGGTGGGCCTTCAGTTGCATGAGCCTGGTGTGGGATGTAACAGGGCATTGACTCTAGCCCTGAGTCATCGTCTTCTGCCTCTGAGGAGGACACTGCTGTCTAGGTGAACGGAAGCCTTAGAACTGGTGCTTCTTCGAAATGAAATTGGCAGCCGAGCAGCCAAGGCCTGCTGAGTGGGGTTCTGTCCAGGAGGCTGTGGTCTGTCCAGCAGGGGGCTATGAACGGTCTAGGGGGTCCTTGCGTTGTGCATGGGACTACAGACTGTCCAGGATGCCATGGAATGTGTGAGCCCTTTGTTTTGTGACCTAGCAGTCCTCTCCCTATGTCTTATCTTTCTGGCCATGGTACTCTTCCTCAGGCATCTGCTCTGTGCATCCAGGGCTCGTGATTTTGTAAGGAGGAGGCTTGATGTGAAGTCGGCCACATGTCTGCTTAGATTTTGTTGTTATTACAGTTCAGCTGATTAACAAAAGAAGCGAGGCAGTGAATGGTTCTGCATGTTCCCTCCTTGTTAAAGGAACATCACATGGTAGCAGAAACAGAGAAAGAGTTGGACCAGTCCTGGTCTCTCTGAAAGGGCCTCTCCCATTCCGCATTCCATTCCTTGTTTCCTGGGGCCGAGTATACGCACAGCCCCCAAACATCCCACTCGCCCTTGATGAGCATTGTTGTTGTTAAGTGCTGTTGAGTTGATTCCGACCCATAGCGACCCTGTATAGGGTGTCCAAGGAACAGCTGGTGAGCTTGAACCACTGGCCTTGCAGTTCAAACCGACTTTGCGGTCTAGCACATTATAACCCACAGTGTGGTACCAGGACTCCATTGATAAGCATGGTGGTGGTGACTGGGTGCCGTGGGAGTCGGTTCCAACTCATAGCGACCCTGTACAGGGTTTCCGAGTCTGTAAATCTTTACGGGAGCAGAAAGCCTCATTTTTTTCCCCGCAGAACAGCTGGTAGTTTCGAACTGCTGACCTTGAGGTTCGTAGCCCAATTCGTAACCACTGGCTCCTTTATTGATATAGCATCACTGATGTTTCTGTCAGAAACTTGGATGGTGGCGGCCGCCACACTAACCCTCACTAGTCCACCTTTGTACTCGCTTTTCTCATTTTTTCCCTCCAATCCTGGACACTGACCTTCTATCAGCAAGTCAACCCTGATTCCAGCCCATCTTTTCTAGTATCTCTGAGATCCTAAACTTGCCACATACTTCCACAGATCACAGAGAGCATCTAGGAAGCGTAGTTACATTTAACAGGAGCAGAAGGGGGAGTTCGGCTTCATGATTTTCTTTTTACTTCAGTAGACACTAGTTGTTTTGCTTTGAATTTTTTTTTTTTTTTTTTTCTGTCCTTTCAGATTCTTTTTGAGAACAGAAGGAAAAGCTCAAGTAGACGTTGTTTGTTCAGACGTGTGTTAAAACGTCTCTGTGGGACTCGATACTTTAGCCCCTAATCAACGCTGGGCCCTACATGTTTGTTTGATCCAGATGTGCTGGGCAAGTTGGTCACATCGTGTTCCTCTTGGTTCTGACTCATTTCACCAAGTAGCTTTTGTTCTGAAGCCTCTACCATTTCCACCAAAACTGGTGGCTGACCCTGGAAACCTGTGATTTGTGTATGTTGGCCATTTTCATGGAGATTTTCACAAACAGCCAGTCAGGGAGACCTTGGAGGAGTCTAGTCAGGTCTGTCCTGGGCACACCTTCAGGAAGCCCCTTTGCTTCCCTCAGCTTTGCCTGTTCCCTGACCAGGTACCCACTGTGTGGAGAGGTACCTTCCACCAACAACTCAGTCTGTGAGTGTGTCTGTTTGTCTTCGGGTAGGAAGAAACAGCCTGGCCTTCTGAGGAGCTGTCACTGCCTAGGTGTCCATTGGGCAGCCTCCCCCGGCTCAGTGGACCCTCGCCACCCCAACCTCTGCACACCGTGTCTCATGCGCTGCTCGGAATGGGGGTCTGTCCGGCGCACACTACTTGTGTGGGAATCCCAGGAGAGGTGTGGGGCCTCGGGCAGAGAGGATGTGTGGCCGTCATCTCCCTTTGCGTCTCTCTTAGAACTCGCTTGTGGTTGAGATCCCACCGTTCCGCAACCAGAGGATCACCAGCCCGGTTCAGGTCAGCTTCTACGTCTGCAACGGGAAGAGGAAGAGAAGCCAGTATCAGCCCTTCACCTACCTCCCTGCTAATGGTAACGCTGTCTTTCTAACCCTAACTGCCGACACCGAGCGACTGAGGTGCTTTTTCTAAAAGACGCGACAGGAGCAGTCCATGCTGCTCTAACTGCACATGGGAACTGCCTTACCTGCCCTCAGTGTCCTCACCAACACACCTGGGTGCGGTGGGGCAGGGCTGGGGCTACATGTTGGGATGATTGTGATGTTGGAGGTTTACCGATCACCTCGCTGATGGCTTGCAAATCGTAGTCTGTGACAGCCAAGGGGAAAACAGGACAGTCTTGTGTCCTCAGACTCTGAGAGCTGTAGGTTGTATTTGACCTGCTAACGTCCTGGAGCTACGTACGTAAGGTGGAAACACACGCACATCGTTGTCCTGGTTTTTGCAGTGCCTTTAGAAAGAAGCCCGGGCTGTTAAGTAGCCTGTAGGCTGGAGCCTCCGGTGGCCCATGGTGGCCTGAATGATTTCTGGGCTCGTCCACCACTCCTCCCAGCCCTGACTCACGGACTAGCTGCCCTCCCGCACAGAATCTTCCTGAGCAGCCCCTTGGTGCAGTCTGGAAGCTTTTCTGTGCTCATTCACACGCCTGACACCTTGAAGAAAATCAGTGGCCTCGTCTACCTTTTGGGGTGTTTTCTTAAAGAAACACCATTGCTTGTTTTTTCTCCAGACCCCCTAGACTAGTAGGGTAGGGAGGTGTTCCCCAGTGCCATGAACCTCGCGCCGAGGGCACAGAATTTAATGGTAATTTGAGTCAGCTTGACTGTTTCAACAACCTCCTTCCTCTAGTGTTACCTTTGTTCTCAAAACTGATGAGATTCGTGTAATTTAAGAGGGAAAATACAGTAAAACCCTCCAGAGGAGGAAGGCTGAAATAGTTCCCACTTTGACAGGAGCCATAGAAACGTGGTAAGACTGTGCCCTGTCCAGGCAGACAGCCCGGGAGTCTGGGAAACCAAGGCAGTCATATGGATTCTGCCTCTCACACGTTTCACTGAATCTTCTCAAAAAAGAAGAAAATCAAAACTCACCACAGCAGCCATATTGTTATGTTTGTAAAAATTGGGAAATTTTTGAAAGCCTCAATTTTCTCTGGATGTCAAATAGCATTTGCAGTTGGTAGATGTTAAGAAAAGGAGCCTAGTGGTACTGTAGTGGGCTGCGAGCTGGGCTGCTGACCACCAGGTCGGCAGTTTGACTCCACCAGCCACCCAGAGGGAGAATGATGCGGCTTTCCCCTCCTGGAAAGATTCACAGGGTCGCTATGAGTCAGAACCGACTCCGTGGCACATAACCACCACCACCCCTCATTACCATGGAGTCCTGGTATGGCGCTGGGGGATAAGCCACTGGACCACAAGGTCAGTGTGAACCAAGAGGTCAGTGGTTCAAACTCACCAGTCACTCCTTGGAAACCCTGTGCAGGGTCTCTGTGAGTGGGCACCGACTCCGCGGCACACAGCAGCATAAGCAAGCCCTAGAATCACTCTGTGGATTAGCGTTAGAAATGTATCAGGCTGACACCGACGATGTCTTTCAAGGGGCAAATATGTAAAGTTACTGCGTCCAGGGAGTGAGTATGAAATGGACTGCAGACATGGGCATCTGCAGAGCCAGGGCTAGGTCCACCCCCGAGGCCCGTGGCTCCTTCTGGACTTATGTGATCTGTATGGTATATGCTTCATGCATCTCACCCAGTCTTGGACGAAGGCTCAGGATACCTTACAAAAGAAATACTTTTTTTTCTGGAAAATATAACGATTGTTCTAATTAAACTTCAAGCATGGCTGACCAGAAATGCAATGTTTTAAAGAAAACTTAGGCCTTATAAAGAGAAATTGCTCTCTAAAGCAGTGTAGGAAACAACTTTGTCTTGGCATTTTGCATCTCCCGCTACAAGTATTCAAGGCGCTTTGTTCACACAGCCGCACGCAGTGGAGAGCCTGGGAGGGTGGCATGCACACCCTGGTCACAGAAGGGTGCATAGGAGGCTGTAAGACCCCCTTGAGGCCACCACCCAGTGTCTGTCCACCTGCCCCTCAGTGTCTGGCTGCCTGCTTCCCCCCTATACCCTATGTGCCCCTCAGTTCTAAGTTCAAATGTGTTTGCCCCTGCCCAGGCCCCCACAGCCCATGCCTCCCATCTGTGGCTTATCTAGATGCCCCCTTCCTGGACTCTGGCCTGGTCCTCATGTGGTCAGGAGTGGACAACCCAGTGGCTCTCCCTGTAACTAAGGCAGTTCCTGTGCCCCTTCAGGGTCCAGTTGGCCTGACTGGGCTACTCTCTCAGCCTCCCTTCCCCCCACTCCTCCCCTCCGCTCCTGAAGCCCATCCCTTGCAGTGCCCCCAGAACTCCGTGGCGGTGCCCCCAGAACTCTTCCAGCCCTCATCCCAGAGTCACTCACTGCATTCTGACAGACGGTGGGTGAGGAGAGCTCAGGTGTCCAGTCTTCAGTTAGACTTTGCCCAGTGGGCATGGTGGTCTTCTGCAGATTTGGGGCTGTCACAGACGGTCCCCCAGCCATTGGCAGCAGCGTCTTCGAAGACCTGCATGATTAGAGCCGCTGTATGCACCTTGGCGCTCTCACACACCACCCCCATGCGTCACTAGGCGAGCGTGGCACCGCAGACGGATCCCCCAACTGCAGCTTCTGAAGACACCGGCAGGGTGGACGAAGGGCCATGGGTGGGCAGGTGGGGCTGGCCTGATGGTCAGCACCTGCAGGGCTGTCTGTTTTCTTTAACCGTCACTGCGAGGTTGCCAATGTTTTCCTGCTGTTTTGTGTACGTACGTTTCATATTCATTCATATAAACGTGTCTGTTAGTGAGCACGACAGAAGCCAAACATGGTGACTTGGGCTTGCTTATTTAGGCGGGAGAATTCTCATAAAATGTATGCGGTAATGGAAATAAACCCATTTAACCCATTGGTGAGACTCATTCTGGTAGGATTACGTGAGATTAAACACCGTTTTAGACTGTCCTGTGGGATGGGCTGTACGTACGGTTCATATTCACTCATATCCACGACAATGGAAATAAACCCGTTTATACCCCGTTGATGAGCTTCATTCTCGTAGGGACTGCCCTGTGGGATGGGGTGTCAACAAAGGTAACATGACAGCTTGACTTAGTTTCTCTGCGTTCACAGGGCCCCAGAAGGCCCTTCTGCACAAAGCCACTGAGGGGCACTGGGACTACCCTATCGAATGACGCCCCTGGAGTCTTGTGTATTGGGAGATGTTGTATACAGGGAGTTGGGTCCCCCTCTCTGTCCTGTCCTCTGCACCCACCTTAGCACTGAGAGTATCTTCTGTCCATGACTCACCCTCCCCATCCTGATAATCAGAGGAGAGCAAGGCCTAGGGCCCTTGGTGCGAGGCCGAGGCTCCGTGATTGGAGGGTCTTTGGTTGGCTTGGCCCTCGCTGGAGTCTGGCCACGTGCTTGGTAGTTAACATCCTGAAAGGGGGGCCAGGAACAGCTCCTTGCCTCGGCCACTTCTGGGAGCCCTAGGGGACACCTTTGGTGCGGTCACACGGGGCTGGGAGACACATCCTCTCAGCCAATGCTTTGTTTGCCTGTGCCCAAGTCTGGCCTTCGAAGGAACAAGCTTTTGACGTCCTGGCTGTGTGATGCGGGTTCGGAGATCCCTGGCCCCTACTGTGAAGCAGAGACTCACCTGGGAGCATTTAGGGCTCTGAGAAGGTGTTTCAGTCATGGCTCACACGGCCGTTTCAGGAGGCAAGTCCACACGCAGACAGGGCAGCTCTGAGCTTGTCAGTTGAAGGGGAGGATGCGCTTTAGGAGAGGACACAGTCATGAGCTAAGCCGTTGCCACCAAAGTCGGTGTTGGTTTAAAGGACAAGATCACTCCGGATAAAGTACTGCCGCCTTCGCCATCTCTCTGTCTGACGTGGTTTCAGGTCACCAGAAGTCACGTCCTGGCTCTTCCTCTCCACCTGGAGTGAACACCCAGGAAGCCCAGGGCTCTACCTTTGTCAGTATCCAGGTAACCCTGTGTGGGCCCGGCCTCCACGGTATGGAGACATATCACTCCTGACGGTCTGTCTTCGCACCTGCCCTGGTCTGTGAGGTGGACCCTGGTCCACAAACCCACATGTGGTCTTCGGCTGACAGAGTCTTCAGTGTGCTTGCTGGCTGATAGCTCAACAGCTCTGTGGTTATTGGGCAAGGAAAGAGCTTCACCCAAAATGAACACGACCTCTGACCCCTAAAGCGATTGGGCCAGTGGAGCATGGCGCCCCCCACCAGAGTCAGGGAATCAGCCCCCAGGAAGAGGGAGAGATGGGAGTTCCCATGGCGTCTACCTTGTCCTTCCCTTCTCTGTGGTTTAAGAAGAACACCTGCAGTTTCTTAGCCGTCCCAGTTCTGATCATAAGCAAAGGGTGAAGTTACACTTCTCCCTAACGTGGCAGCAATGAGGAGGAGGGCCACTGCTTCTTTGTGTGAGTTGCTAAATCCATAAATAAAAGAAACACAAAGAAGCCAGTATAAGCGCTTAGAGGGATCCCAACAAGCAACAACTGGTAAGCCTGGTAGCTATCTAGCCAGAAAGCATCTGGATATGAGCTGAGTGGGGAGGGAGCTGCTCTCAAGCAGTATGTGGGGTCCCTGGCATTTCCTAGATGGCGGTCCCCATCAGGGCTGTTTTCCTGCGAATCTAGAATGTGGATCCTCACATGAAGAGCCCGATGCTTGGCGACTCGCTGTCTGAGGTAGCTGAAGTAAACCTGCCGTGTGGATGGAAGAAGAGCAAGCCCTCACTCCCAGTGTGCTTCATGGAGCTGGACTGGGGTGCTCACAGTGATTTTGGTTTATCTTTTCCACTGAGCGTTTGGGCTTATGTGCAAGTAAACTTGGAAAGTTGAATCCCAATGCAATTATCTTCATTAAAGCGGTAGACGTGCTGAAGAGTGAGTCTCTATCGTGTTTTAGTTTCTGTTTTAAGAGTGGAAACTGAGGGTTGTGGGAATGTGTTCTTTGGTGGGTCTCCATTCCTGCCCTGCCCAGCCTGCTCCCAGTGACCTTCGGGGCTGGACCACAGGCCTGC